GTAATTTCATGACGATATATTCGAATCTCTAATTTTAGTGAAATATTCTCTGCAATAAAATCAAGAAAATTGGTGTCGATATTTAAGCAGCCAGGATTTTTTTAATTTGCTTCTTAGTCATTGCTTTCAGAGCATGCATCACCAACAGCGGAGCTATATCAGCCGACAGGCTGCTAGTTTTACCATGTTATCAGTGTAAACACATTTTAAAATATGTCTCTGTTACGAGCACTCGTCAATATTCACTATATTCTAAATTACGTGACTATATTCTAAATTACCTACGAATTAAACGTCATAGACCACTCAGGATTTATCACTGAAAGGGAGACTATACGAAAGTTGAGTCAAGCAAGACGTCTTTTTATGGTGACAAATACAAAATGTCTGCTTGTATACAGTAAAAGCAGATATTATTTTAACGAAACCCTGTATTTTCAACTTCAGAAAAAGTGTTATTGCTTATATTCGAACCATGTCAATTCATGTGAAACGTTTCATCACATGAGGGCGCACTTTATTGTAAAGGTTTACGGTATAGAATAAAAACAAAATATGGATAACCTCACTAACAATATACATAATAATCTTTGATATGCACTAAATAGTATTTCTTTTGTAAAATCTGAATTACACGAATGCTCATTTTTAAAATTAATAGTACGTACCGGTAATTCAAAACACATTTTTGTATTTAACATCGTAATCCAGTCGTAATACTTATAGTTAAAATGTCATATGCAGTTAAAGTCTGTTAATATTACTAATATTAAATAAAACTAATATTCAGCAGTCACATACACTCACTGTACATTAGCTTGTAGCATATATGTCAATGACACCCACAGTGTTGTACTCAGGTATAAAACTGTTCCCCTCCGCAATAAATTAGGTACATTGATTCCGTATGCAATACGAGTTGTGTTATGCGTAAATCTCAAATTAATGAGATATATTTAATCGATTTGACGAAACTATATATTCCACTCATCAAGATACAAGGACGAAGAAGTTAAATTCACGGCATGGTACTTAATAATTACGTCACGCTTTTTATTTTATATCCTTGTTGACATGACCGATATAAGAGTCATATATAAACAGTCGATTTTTATTGGCCAGTGAGCAACACACAATTAAGTTTTAGTTTCAATGAACAAGTTATCTTATATTTAGTTTGTGAGAATGAAAAATGAAAGTGTAGAAACATGTCAAGATTGTTTTCTTAAAAAAAAACACATTCGTTCGAAATTAATAAATAGACCATAAACAACGATCAATGTACTGACGTTGCGGTGGTTACAATGATTTATAAAATTAGATTATACAAGTGTGTGATGTAGATAAATTTCGCTCATTTCTGTTCTGTTTCATTGAACGTTTCCTAGCGTCAACTGCATACTGTAACGCTATTGGTTACACACACATTCAATGGACGCGCATGAAATGAAATCGATTTCAAGCGATCACAAAGCGTACATGGCTATGAAATATCTTTCGGGGGGATTATATTTCGTGTGGCATAGATGTATATAAATGACGTCACTCTCTCCTGTGATGTATTCCAACACTCGGTATTGTGGTCAATGCAATCTTGAGGCATATTGTATCATCACATTTGGTTGATTTATAGACTACACTGAGGGCGCTATAACCAAACATGCAGTTCTTATATTTTGTATTGCAGAGTATACCACGTGCGATTCAGTAATCCCACTGCAGTCACGTGGTTCAAATGCGAGTTTTCTTGTATATTACGCAACGGAAACGAAAAGTACAGACTATCATACATTCCAGACTAGTACAGCGGTTACTTTCAGTGGTGAGATTTTATAATATATGGAAGTGCCACCAAAACTGTACATTTTCGGGTGATAGTCTGTATTTGAATAAATCGACCTTCAGTGCCGACACATATATCCCTGAAAAATTCAGTAGATTAATATCATCGGATAACGTTCAATTGAGAGATCATTTACAAAAACAATCTGTCGTAAAAATCAGTGCCCTGGAGCCAGTGCTGCACATATTCATGTAGTACACACCCAAACATATGCTTACAAGTGTCTACTCAAAGTAGTTGTTGATTTCTCTGTGATATAATTTGAGTTATTATAGAGGCATGTCATCATCTTCTGGCAGAAGATCAGTAACATTGCCTGTTTATGGTATAACATTAACTCAACTTGTGGAGGGTTATTTGTCATATATAGTTGTTTTTTTCAATAGAACCGTGTTGTTGACATGAATTTGTTATGTTGCTGCCATTTCTATCAATGTCTACACGCGCTTCAGTCTTTGATTTATCTTCCTTGGACGTCATTTCAGATCTCAAGACAAGGTCCAATGTAATATATTTCGTCAGACACAAATGACTTGACGTTAAGTGTCAACAACTATCCTTGCATTCATCAATATCTTGTGGCGTTCAATACACGCGGAATGACTTTGAATATGTTTCAACATCTTACTCAGACGGTTCAGCTCTAACGATTTCGTTTCTATAGCTAGAGGAAGAAAGGGGAGTATGAATTGGTTTCTGTCAATAATATCTGTGCAGTCTGCAAGGTCTGGTTTCCACTACTGTTGGAAATGTTAGTTGAAACAGCAGGGGTGCTTCCGGACTTCCGGATCTGCTGTCCCAACCAAATGGCCTTTGAGCTCAGCGATGTACCACTTACATTCATTCAGACTTTTCTGAGTGGACTGCCAACGTCCTGGCCAGGGCGAACGGGGATTCCACCAACACAACCTACACCTCAAAATGACGTACGTACACTGATTGGTGTAGTGAAAGGGAGATCCATGCCATCCCCCTGTTGGCCAGGAAGCTGACTTTTCGTCCATCGTTTGGGGGAAATGGACTTGTCCTCTATAGTTGTTGGCTATAGGCCAGCCTTGTCACCCACCTAGACCCCAAACAGGGGAACCAGGTAGGCGTCGGACTGAGCTATCAGGTTTCTCGCCGGGTAGAAAACCCCAGGAACCATTCCATACCTGATCGTCATCCCCCGATGAGCAAAATTGCCAACCCAGAGGATCAGGAGGAGTTGCTTCTGTGCCCAGTTCGAGCGCAGAGTAGCGACGAAAGCCATACTAAAAGGTTGAGGCATGACAGCAAGCACAGGTTTATATGTTATGGCCAGGGTACGCAGGACAGACCAGCCTCCCAAACTTCCATGACCAGGTGGATCACTGGCTCGAGTTATTAATCGTTCAGCTTCTTAGACACAGGGTCTATCGAGACACCAAGTACGGACACATGAGGTCCATGCGATTGCTAACTCACTAGCGTCAGGTGCCCCCTTGAACATATTCTGAGGGCAGGCTTCTGGAGAACGCAGAACGTCTTCATCAACTACTACCTAAGAGATACTCTTTAGTATGGGTCCCGTCGAAGTAGATCAGACTTTGGTTGCTGACTAAGCCTGAACGACCACAGGGATCTCTGCGCATGCGCATAGGCGATTAGTCAGTCTCATCAATTTTGCGGACAGATTTATACCATCGGCACTTCCTTGAAAAGCTAGTTACCCCAGAATTTGGGTTGGGGTCTAGCATTCTCGGGCACACTGAACCCCGTCACGGCGGCAGCATTTTGGTTTTTGCCACGGTACGGCACAGGCAAGGTAAGACACCATTTCCTACATTGGAGAACGCAGAAAGTCTTTATCAACTACTACTACCTAAGAGATACTCAATCCAATGAGGATGGTCTCTTTAGAATGGGTCCGTCGTAGGTCAGACTTTGGTTGCTGACCCATTCTGAACGACCACAGGGATCCCTGTGCATAGGCGATAAGTTAGTCTCAGCAATTTTGCGGACAGACACCATTTCCTTCATTGGTCTTAACTAGGTGGTATAACGTAGTCTATTACTGGAGAGCATTGTCCCGGACTGGGACACACTTTTCATCCCTTTCTGTTTACTCAGAAACCCGCCACATATCGTCGTCTGACTCTGCCTAGAGTTCAAAATTGAACATTGTAATTGAACATAGTGAATTTAGGCAGAGGGTTCTTGGAACCCATCTATTTACATAGTTCATACCCACCATAAACTCTGGGTCCCCCAAACCCCCACTTTTTTTCCGTAGTGTTGGCTTAGTCCTCGGTGCAGAGAAAGAAGGAACCAGAGTGACGAGTAGACAAGAAGAAAACTCTTGATGTCATGGGGCTTCCCTTGATTTATTTCTCCATCATTGGCTGAATCGCAGATTAATGCCTACAGTTCAAAATTGTCAGTTTGACTGACCAGAGGCGGATTCCGAGAACCCTCTGCCTAAATTCAGGAGCCAGGAAGCAGAAAGAACGTCGTCAAGAGCTCATGTGTCACAGTCATAACATACAGATGCAATCGTGTTCAACTAACTTCATAAAATAGAATAAAAGAATAAGTTGATTATTCATGCAAATTGGTTATACATGAAACAAATATAGATAAACGATTGATTATAGAATTAAAGAATATAAAACTATCGTTCAGTTAGTCCTGCAGTAATAGGATAAAATTAAACACTATTTGAGGACCAAAAACAAGATTCGTACTCTCTTTATCCATTTGCGTGTAGGCTCTACTAATACCTAACTTGTCCATCTCGTTAAGCCACAATACCTCTTGCAATTTTTGTCACAAATATGGACATGAATTCCCTTTATGTGGATATATAAACATTAATACAAACATGATCTCGTGAATTCACAACTATATGAAAATACAAAGCGAGTGGTGAATATAGTAATTCTACATCAGCCTGATCAATTACTTGAATTAAGACGTTGTAATCAAATAAACGAAAATCAATTTCGTATTTTGGATACAGTCCCTAAATTTGCTGCTTCGAAAGTTGGCTACAGTACTTCACCAATACATCAACCGATGACGGTAAACTGAAAACCACCTCTTCAATACATACCATTTTTACAATTTAACAAATTCGTTGACCCCTTCGGTGGCGAGTGGTGATTATAGTAATTTTACATCAGATTATTTCCTCGAATTAAGACAGATTAAAAAACTCGGCAGCGTTGTAATCAAATAAACGGAAATCAATTTCGTATTTTGAATAAAGTCCTTCAATTTGCTGTTTAGACAGTTGGCTATAGTACTTAACCAATACATCAATCGATGAACTGTTCGTTCTGTGTGGAGCGTATGAAGAGAAATCAACAATATTACTTGCGTTGATTGCCTTCAGTACGCCCTCGCTGTCCTCATTTAGTGTTTCAAATTTTCCAAGAATGTCATAGTCGATATTGCACGGATTACATTGATTTGTAATCAATCCCCAGTGCTCATTTAATTGGTTCGAATCTGTTTTCAATATATGGTTAACAAAATCACTGAAACTTAACTTGTTTGATGCATAATTTATTTTATCCACCACAGTCATCCATGGGCGTATTTTTTTCAGGAGCACCCATTGCGGGGAATCACCGAGTTTATTAATATATGCAGATAGCAGCTTAGGTATGGGGTGTCTTGTAAACATGAACTTGGTGTATGTGCGCATGCGTAATTCAATTTCTGATTTGGTGTAACTATCCAAATGTGGGTAATTCAACCGATACACCAAACGGTTGCCAGGTATTTCTGATACGTTTTTGAAAGTTCCCCGCAACACAAGAAACACCTTTCGCCAGTTGGTACTAGCAACCTTTGCTGCTGGACAGTAGAGAATGTTGTAATTGTCGTCGACAAGAAGATTGTTATACTTGACTCTCTCAGCACTCAGTTCTGGATATTGTTGGCACATCATAGCAACATGCTCTTTTCTTCTTTTTTGTATTACTTTCCAGCCGAGCATCTACAGGTGGACAAAGAAGATTGATAAAAACGATCAATGTCACGTAAAATAGTAGAATCTGTGTAGTGGCTTACTTTCTCACAAATTGCTTTAACTTACACTCTATAGTATGTCGTTACATACTCAATACTGAAATGAACTCACTATTTTTCCAGCATATATATTGTTCTGAAGACTATATTGTCGTGAACTCACTGTATTGACATGTACTCATTCTATTGTTATGAACTTACTCCATGATTATGAAGTCAGTTTTTTGGTATGCAATCACTCTTTGTGACAAAGCCGCTCTATTATAAAATTACGTTCACAGAGCATCATAGCTAGTAGATACACAAAATAACCACGCGCTGGAAAACCATTTCACACTACAAAATAAGAATTCGTAATGTCTTTAAAACTAACCGTGTTTCTGCGATCCCGTTCTGTTGTCGAGGACTCGCTTTGGTCTCTATGATTCTCCGTGATTCTGGGTACTCGTGCTGTTGTCAATATTTCGCTGTTCTCCCTAGACTTCAACGTACTTCTTGATAAGAGTGGCGTAGATGCGGTGGTAAACTTGTCAATATTGGTTCTTGTATTCTGGACGGCGTCGTTTTTAAATGAATTGAAAACCCTATTTAACTTCATCTTCACATTAACTATAAATAAATGCAATGCATTGTTATATATTCAATAATTGAATTGAATTGAACAATAGCTCAGATTCAGTACGAATATAACGTAGAGAGGCCGGATCCAGAAAATTACTATAATTAATCAAATCCAATTTTCATCTCCCGTGGAACATAGAAACGCGACGTCACATTTCCACCGGGACCTGTATTGTGTGGCATGACGGGCCCCGACCCAAGTCAGTCCCATCTTTGCCACCACAGCTGTAACAGTCATGTGCCATGTTGTTTTGAGGTTTTCTTTTGCGTATATGTGAAAAATGATATTCCACAAATCGACATGACTCATATGATTGTTTTGTTATTACAATAGTCATCAGTAGTGTCATCAAATTTATAAAAAGATGTCCAAAATAAATAACTTCTTTTATAGTGAAATACCGTCTTCATTTTGATATGGGTGACCTTGAAACAATGGTATCATTGTATGAGCTAGAACACTCATAAAGTAATATTACAGATATTTGCTGTCAAAATTAGAAAGCATTTGTGTTTCTGCTATATTTAATTTCTATACATAACTTTCTTTAATTCATATTTGTGCGCATGCGCAAATAGTCAGTATACGAAAAAGCATGATTATGTTGAAAAGAAAAAAACGTGCGCACACTCACGAATAACGGATTTGGATTTTGTTCGCGCCAGACGGAAAGAACAGATATATTTATTCAAATAGATGTGTAACCTTTTATTGACATGTGCAATGACGATACTCAAAAAAGTCCAGGAAATTTCAAGAATAGTAGTTTGAAATTAGATATTCAAAAAGATTTTTTTTCTTTTGAACCACTGAACACATTGAGCTGACAAATGAATTTTTAACATGCAAATATAATGGTCATTTGGTTTTGCAAAGCTTTTTGTGATTGGTCATGTGGTTTGAATGCCATCTTTGATTTTTTTGACAGAGGTAGTATAGTATATATATATATGGCCCAAGACTAAGGATATAAAATAATGCTATCAGTCACGTGGTTCGCCGCCATCTTAGATTTTCTGCAAAATCGAACATTCAACTTGATTTTCTTATATATAGCATGAATGTTCAAAGCTGTTTACAAAAAAAAATTGATAGTTTACCGATCACCGATCGACTTGAAATCTTGCATGTAACATTTATGGCGAAACCATTTTTAGAAATATAAAAAATGTTGATCGGTCACGTAGTTTGGCCACCATGTTGTTTTTCTGAAAAAAAAAACAATGCCAAAATCTGGTGCATGTGTTTCCCATGCGTGCTTTAGCAAACACACTTTATTATATTTTACAGGTACATGTATGGTCAAAACGTTTTGTGGGAAAATAATGAAATAATGTTATCAGTCACGTTATTTGTCCGTCATCTTCTATTTCTGGTATAGTTGACTACAATTTAGGGCTTTTATTTCTCATGAGTCTTTTAACTGATTAACTTGATGTACATGTGACATGGCCGATGTTCTTATGAAAAAATGTTGTTTCGTCACGTGTTTTTTCCGCCATCTTGAATATCTAGCAATAATGTTCAACAAGTTTGGCATTGTGGGTGAGTAATTAAAGCGATAAATTTAATATGTTGCATGTAGCGCCAAATCAATTCATTAAGAGAAAAATAAAAACATTCGAATTTGTCACAAAATATGGTTGTCAATTTCCCACATAAAGGCCACAAATTCAAGCACAGATATATATACAACTGAAAGTTATCAAAACATCATACTTTTAGCGGTCTAGGGGGGCTGAATTCTTTAAAAAATCTTCTTCTTATACATTTTAACGAAATAATAACAACAAACAAATTATTCAGTTTGCTGTGGACCTGGAACATGTTTAAGATATAAGTCAATTATGGCAATACAGGTATGATTCGTAACACCCATCAACATGCTCATCTGAGCCAATCAGCTCAAGTATACTTGAATCGATCCCCTTGTTTCATTTTTAATTAACCGTATGTCAACTTCTGTGCAGGTTGTTTTCATATTGTGTCTGTTTTTGTTATTTGAAAAATATACAATATATGCTTTTTTTCCTGAAATATGCAGTGTTTACTGGGGTGAATTTTATTGGAATTATTATTTCATCGAATGGAAGCTACAAACAAATACACCAAAAAGTACTCACAAATAAAATATGTGAATATACTTATTCACTGATAAGCTGGTACCTACCTTGGCTGAGAATAGATTGGTTAGATAGATATAACAGGGAAAACACACATGAAAAACCGCACAAAATAGCAAAAGTCCATTGATACGTACGCCTGTCCATTGCGCAACAGATGTACTCGGGGGGGATTAAGTGATGTATATAGTTGTAAACTGAAATATCACAAATAGAAACGCGTGTGATTTTACGTCTAAAGGCCATAGTGGCGTCAGATGCGAGACATAGTGCGCATGCGTGAATAATGTCAATGTGATTTTTTTCCTCAAATTCATATTTTTCGACGTCACATTGTACCTCACCGGAGTAGTCAGTATGTCACAATTACATTAATATTAAAATGTTATTTTACGACAGATTATGAGCTTTGGTCACATATCAAGACCTATTTAAGGCAGAACTCAACGTGGTTGTAACAATAATGCAATTTTCTTTATTTTAACATGTGACATTTCGTGTGTAAAAGTGAAATAAAAATACGAAGTCATATCTATATCTCAGTATCACAAAATTGAGGTTTATTATATATAGTATCTTTCAATATATTTGTTCAAGTCCACGCAGATTGATCACTGTTGATTTAGGTGAGGGTTCTTCGAACCCGCCTATTCACA